CTACTCTTTGTTGTGGTGCACGGGCTTCTCATTGTGGTGGCTTCTCTTGTGGAGCACGGGCTCTAGGCGTATGGGCTTCAGTAGTTGTGGCACGTGGCTCAGTACCTGTGGCTCGTGGGCTCTAGAGCGCAGGCTCAATAGTTGTGGCGCATGGGCTTAGTTGCTCCACAGCATGTGGGATCTTCCCAGACCAGCGATCGAACCTGTGTTCCCTGCATTGGCAGGTGGATTCTTAACCACTGCGCCCCCAGGGAAGTCCCACAATTCCTAGTACTCTTATTTTCTCCCCACAGAAGAGCTCATTTTCTTTGGGCCTGGCCCCTGGCTTATGCCTGCTAATGACACCACGCGCTCAATGTTTGAGTGGTCACAGGGCATTTATGTGCAACTCAAGCAGAGCCCAGGAGGCACAGTGGAAGTGCCTGGGGGGCTCCCCAAGGGCTTTGGTGAGAATGAGCTTTGGGAGGTTCAGGGCTTTGTAGCTCAGCGTTAGACGGTAATGAGAGATCTGCCCTGAACCTTCACAGGGCAGCCTGGGAGAGCTTCCAGAAGCACAGGCTGAACCTTCCTGTCACTCCCCTTGCTCCACAGCATGGCGTTTCAGCCCCGCCGAGATCTGGGTCTGGAGGAGTCCCACCACAATTCTCTGCTTGACCCCTGAGTCTCAGTCCACTGCCTTGGCCCCATCCACCCCACGTTCCCTGCAGGGGCCCGGCCTAATGCCACTAATGTGACGTCTTCTACCCCTCCCCTCCCCCGTGCTCCCCCCTCTCCCTCACCCCAGGCTGGGCTTCCACGTCGCTCTCTCACCTGAGCTTGAGTTGTAGTTCATTGTTCACGGATCCGCCCAGCCACACAAGACCTCCACCCACCCTCCCCTGCAGCTTGTGACAGACCTTGGTGGACAGTCCGTGCGAATCTGAAAGCAAAGCCACCTGTACGTGCAGGGAGTCCTCAGTCCCGGGCAAAGGAATAAGAATGCAACCTAGTGTTGGGGTGCTTCCATTGTCAAGCGGGGAATCCTTGTGTTTTCACGGGTTCAGTCTCAGGCACAGATGTGTCCACTTGCTTGGTGATGCTAAACAGACACACTGAATTTTGTATAGGAATAAAAGCCTGGTGCCTCTACCTCCTTTTTTCTTGCTTCAGGATCTCCTGATTAACCTTCACAACCAACAAAACGTGTTCCCTGTTCCTTATATCTATCCTTTCCACATATTGTGAGGGTCTGCAGATTGCCTTAGCGTTCTGTCATGCCAGGCAAATGCAAATGCTCCGAGCCAGGACTTACAACACTGAACATTTACTGCAGTCCGTCTTCCAGCTGCCTGGCAAGGAAACACTTCTCAGAATAAGTATAAATTAGCTAATGCTGAAACTGCAGAAATTCTCAATCCATACCCTGTGTCACAAGCAATTCTTCCCTCCTCCAGTTCTTCATTCAGACATTAATTCTAGGTCTCTCTGCGGCAATCAGGGGTGAACCTGTGGTAAAATACTAGTGGTGCAGTAGCTGCAGGAAGGCGTATATATAATTTCCCTGTCAGAGTGGTTTTAATGCCATCTTTCACTGGGCATGATACATTAAAGAAAAGATAAATGGTTATGGGCCCCCAAGATCTGTGGAGTCAACACAGGCATGGGAAAGTACTATTTTAACCTTTAATCATTTTAGCCAGGGAGCAAAATCTATTTTTATTGCTTATGAGCAGTTGTGCTAAACTGACTATGAGGTTATGATCTGTAGGTAAAGGAAGTCCCGCAGAAACGCTGTTCCCAGCCTGAATCAGGAAGAACACCAAGAACCTCAGTTCAGAGGGCAGAAGTGGGGCCGTGGCGGGCTGGGGACAGAGCCCGAATGCAAAGAAAGAGGCTGAGCGGCATGGGGTATTGCTGTGGAGCAAGACCACGTCGGGGCCTGGGACGTGGTCTGGGAAGCAGGTCCTGCCCCTCCTGGGTCCCTGAGAATGGGAGGGATTAAAGTCTACAGATGAAGAAACCACGGGTGCTTTCCGCACCTCCTCTGCGCTTAAAGAATGGCCTCTGTGTTTCCCAGTAGTAAATGAGTTCATCATTGGTGAGGTCTGGAGGAAAATAGCCACCCTTTATTACATGCTTTCTATGTGCCTGCGCTTTGCTAAATGCTTTATAGGGAATCTGTTCTTTAATCCTCCCAACAACCCTTTGCAGTAGGTGCTATAACTCGCTTTACAGATCAGGACATTGAAGTCTGAGAGGGGTTAAATCATTTGCCCAAGACCGACAGTCAGTTGGTGGTAAGAACTAGGATTTGAGGGACTTCCCTGGTGGAGCAGTGGTTAAGAATCTGCCTGCCAATGCAGAGGACATGGGTTCGAGCCCTGGTCCAGGAAGATCCCACATGCCAGAGCAACTAAGCCTGTGCGCCACAAATACTGAGCCTGCCCTTTAGAGCCTGTGAACCACAACTACTGAGCCCACGTGCTGCAACTACTGAAGCCCACGCACCTAGAGCCCGTGCTCCGCAACAAGAGAAGCCACGACAATAAGAAGCCCACGCACCAAAACGAAGAGCCCCTGCTCACCACAACTAGAGAAAGCCTGTGCACAGCAACAAAGACCCAACAAAGACCCAACGCAGGCAAAAAAAAAAAGAACTAGGATTGGAACCTAGAGACTGGTTACAGGACCTGTGCTTACCTTAACCACCATGCTTTTAAATAGCCTTTTGTTCTAATTAAAGTTGCTAGTGTCATGTCCATAAAGTTAGAATGAAAAAACAAAAGTTCCCTGATTTTCCAGAGCACCTGGCGCAATGCCTTTGACCTTGGTTTCCAGTCTGGACCTACCCACCCTGCACATGTGTCTTCAGGATGATTAGCTGGTAGTCAGGGCTCTGAGAACCTTAGATGATCAAAGATGCTTGATCAAATTACGAGCAATGAGTTTCCACGTCCCCACTCAAGACTTAAGTCCACCAGCAGCCAGTTTGGGATATTAAAAGCAATTTCACATGCGTTCTACATAAGTCAGAAATCAAAAGTTCTTGTGGAATACCATTAAGGCGTTTCTTTTTTTTTTTTTTTTTTTTTTTTTGCGCGGTACACGGGCCTCTCACTGCTGTGGCCTCTCCTGTTGCGGAGCATAGGCTCCGGACGCGCCGGCTCAGCAGCCATGGCTCATGGGCACAGCCGCTCCGCGGCATGTGGGATCCTCCCGGACCAGGGCACGAACCCGTGTACCCTGCATCGGCAGGCGGACTCTCAACCACTGCGCCACCAGGGAAGCCCCATTAAGGCATTTCTGCAGGGACCTCATCTGACATCTGACTGAGAATATCCCCTCTGAGGCAAGCAGGGTACCCTGTGTGGGGAGGTGAATACCAGCCTTTCATCTTTAAGAACCAAATATTCCTCTCTAGTTGGCCTTGGGGAAGAGGGGGTTACCAAGAGAGGGTCAGTTAATTCCACGGCCTTAGTCTCCTTCTCTGTAACTCACCTTGCTTAAGACCTGCATCACTGAGGCTAAATTACTGCAGTAGACTCCAAATTGGTTTCTTTACAATGTTTTTGAATGAGTGTATGAAAGGATTACTTTTATATCATGAGATAAAACTTTCATCCTTTAAGCCAAAAGGCAAGGCAAAACCCAAGCAGGTAGCATTCCAGTGTATTTTCCCAGGGAAGTTATAAATTGTAAACTGCAGTGCAAGTAGCATTTTAAAGATTTCAAGGGAAATGTAAGAAATAGATGGTTTTGAAATTATCGTATAGTTATAAGGAAAAGGTATTTTGGAAAAATTACCAAAGAAATCTTCTTATATGAACACATATACCCACTTGTCCTCTTTGACTTAGTAATCTCATTTCTGGAAATGTATCCTTAAGAAATTATCCAAAATGAGGAAATTAAGATGTTCGTTGCATAGTTATTTATAATAGCAAAATATTTGAAATAGTCTAAATATGCCCTAGCTACACACACACACACACACACACACACACACACCCCTGATAAAATATGTATTTATTAAAAATTAAAATTATAAATAAGCCATGGCGCAACATGAAAATGCTTATTTTCTGTATAAAGGAAAACAAGTCAGATATATAACAATGACACTGAACCATTTAAATTGTATATCTTTTCGTTTCTAGAATTTCTATTCCGTTTGTTTTCTACACTGCCTCTTCATTTTTTATACCATGCTGTTCATTCTTTATGGTCACTCTTCCTTCTGTTATCTCCTTAACATCTTAAACATACTTCCTTGAATGCTTTATTTCAGATTATTCTCAAGGTGCAGATTCTTTTGTTTGACGTGCTGTACATTTTTCCTGTGAAGCCTTCATCTACTTCAAGGATGGTTGTCTGTGGGCCTCCACCATTCCCTGGCCTGGGGGGATGTGGTTTTGCTCTGCCTATAGCCAGACCCTAGTAATTTCAATGGTCCTAGGCAGATGTTGCATTTCTTTACCACTTTCCTGGAATGGCTGATTGAGTTTGAATATAAATTCTGTATTTATGCAGACAGCTCAGTTTCCTGGCATGGGCCTGAGCATTGTTTCTTAGCCCCAAGGTGTTAAATCCCCAGCCCCTCACTCCTAAAGCCTTTACTGATTCCCTGCCCATTGAGTCTTCGGGTTCAGAGCTCACCGTTAGCTCGGGTCTGCTTTGTTTCTAGCACCTAAACTTCTTTTCCTCCCCTCAAACTCTGCTGAGCATTAAGATAGTTATGCTTTACGCATAATTTCCATGTGTTTGTAGCGGCGATGCTGAATCCACCATATTGACCAGAAATACTTATTTATCTTTTCCATTTATTACAGTTATATGAAAATATATGTGTATATATTCCAGAGACTGGAAGGGACTTTGGAAATGAAATGACCTGTTACGGGTAGAGATAGTGGGTTAATAGTAACTATTTTTCACTATTTTGAAAATATTCTGCATTGGCATTATATTGTCTTTACAACAGTAAGACTCATCATCTTTTTAACTATTGTCTTTTGTTTCAGAATGCATACACTACAACTGCCATTAATGGGACAGATTTTTGTACATCAGCAAAAGATGCACTCAAACTCTTATCCAAGAATTCAAGTCATTTTACATCTGTTAACTGCTTTGGAGACTTCGTAATTTTTCTAGGAAAGGTGAGATGTCTTCAGTAAAATAATAAAGGAACTTGGGATCCAAAAATTAAGCCATACAACAAGACCGTGAAGGAGAGCTACCGTTTCCCAAGTGCTTACTCTGTGGTAGATGCTATGCCTCATCCTCTCATTTAATCCTCAATCCTGTGAAGTAACCCTGTTTCGCAGATGAGGAAACTAAGGTTTAATAACTTGTCCAGGATCCCACGATAGGTAGAGCTAGGATTCGAATCCTAGTCTTACTCTTAGCTATGATCATTTCTTTCTACCATTCTGAATCCTGCTTTCTCATATCTAAAATGAAAATGCTACTAACCTCAGAAAATGAATGTTTAATAGGGGTTGTTTGTGATAAAAATATATGGAAATAGTATTGCAACCTGATGATTTTAAGAGCATTGAATCCATAAAGATAGAATGGTTAATGTTCCAAATGGAGCCAGTTACATTTCTGCTGTCATCTTTTTCCAAGGAGTTGTACGTAGTCTTGTGAAAACCTCATTTCTCCTAACTGTGAACTAAAGATAACACATCCCCTTTCTGGGTTACAGGGAAAATCCCTAAAAGAGTGATGAAAGTGGTGCTCCAGCCCCTACTTGACCATGCCTCGAGTTGAAGATTCTTTATACTGTGCTAGCGTGTCTCTTTCCGTGTCACCCACTGGGCTTAATTCTACACACCTGTTTGGTCCTATTTCCAGTTGACTGCCCTTCAAATTCTTGACCACAGATGTCCTGACCCTCCCTCCACATCTTCCCCCTTCTAAGCTAGACATCCTTGCTTCTTCCAGCCAGTCCTCCACATAGGACACGAATGCCAGGGACATTCGCGGTGCCCTAAAATGAACAAAGATATCAGGCTCCAGTTGTGCCAGTGCCAAATATGGGGACCCTGGGCTCCTCGTTAGCATTTTGTGTTTCTGTGGCATTTGGTGTATATCTCTGGTGCCTTACTGTCATGGTTAGCTGTCAGTGACAAGTTAGAACGTGCTTGGACTTCACAGATGTGTGTTAATTGCACATATATTTTAAGGCACAGCTGGGCCCCAGAGACTCTTCATGGGACAGTAGCTCTAGAAGAACGAACTGATTACGCCTTTCAAAACAGCCTAATAATCTAAGTTATAGTTGTATCTAAGTGGTATTGTTTACGTTAGCTTGGTAGGATTGTGGATGATATATTTTGTAATAACTACTTCCCAGAATTTTTGAAAGGAGGTTTCATTTTTTCTTTTTTTTTATAAACTTATTTATCTATTTATGGCTGCATTGGGTCTTCCTTGCTGCGTGCGGGCTTTCTCTAGTTGCGGTGAGCGGGAGCTACTCTTCTATAACAGACTTGTATTTTATTTTAGGCAGTAATTCATTTTCCTATATTTCCCAAAAGGAACGCATAATTGCTGATTTGGTTTTTTTTTTTTTTTTTAATGTAGTGGCATGCAGACATTCCCGTCCATCTTTATGGATATCCAAGTGCAGTGCGGGCTCCAGAGGGGCTCCAATTTGTCTGTTAAACAGTTAGGTACATCATGGCCTGTAATCATATTCCTGGAAATATAATAATTACATATAGCAAAAGCCTATTATCCTATTATCTCCCTACACCAGCATTGGAAAGCCCATCCACTTTAATCCCCAGGGTAAAAGTACGCACATACTAAACTACAGTATATCCACTCAGTGGACTGTTGTGCTGTTGTTTTTAAAAATAGCATTTATAAAAAAATTTTTTTTTAATGAAGATGCTTTTTGTAGCATTTAGTGAAAAAAACACTAAAAATTTTGTGAGGTACCATTACATCTGCATAAATACAAAAAATGGGCACAGATAAAATGAAAGTATATATGCTCTTCTCATCCTCCAAATTAGCTGGGTTTTCTTTTGGTATCATAGCTTTTCATTTTTCTTTTTCCTGTTTCATTGTACCCAATTTTCTGACAAGCACTCTTTACAGTAAGGCACATACACATACATGAAAACTATTGCTTATACCTGACAAATGACAAATGTCTTTTCTAAAATATCCTAACCAACCAACTTATAAACATTTTCAACAAACTCTTGTTCTGGACAGGTGCTAGTGGTGTGTTTCACAGTTTTTGGAGGACTGATGGCATTTAACTACCACCGTGTGCTCCAGGTGTGGGCAATCCCACTATTATTGGTTGCTTTTTTTGCCTACTTAGTAGCCCATAGTTTTTTATCTATGTTTGAAACTGTGCTGGATGCACTTTTCCTGTGTTTTGCTGTTGATCTGGAAACAAATGATGGATCATCAGAAAAGCCCTACTTTATGGACCAAGAGTTTTTGGTAAGTAAACATCTCATTTCCTGTTTTAGACTCCATCCTCACAATCTCAAAAGCGTTGAAGACTCACACATAAAGGAGGCTGGTTCCCAGCTTATTTTCTCTTCCGGGGGGGGGGGGGGGCACATGACCCAAATGTCCTGAGAATGAGATTTGGGCTGTATTTTCTGAGGTTGACCCCACCTCCCTTATTGAAACCTTCTCCCTGGAAAGAAGTGAAATGAGCAATTATCACTAAGCAAATGACCCAGGGTAGGAGGGTCTGGGTGGAGTAGCAGTGCAAGTCCCCTTTGGTGCTAATGGCTTGGTCTGGCCTTTTGGATGGTCTGGAGATTTCACAGTTGATCTTTTTCTAAGGCATTTTTGCATCCCCAAGCATCATGTCATACCCATTGTATTTTAGGGAACACCCACTCCAGTGGAGACCAATCACCTTCAGCGCCAGTATGACGGATCTGCAATTCTGGGGCCCTTTATTAACCACAGCACACAATGTTGAGAAATGTCACACCCTCATTAGAGCCCCCATACTGCTATCTGGAAATAGCAGGCAGCTGTTTCCAACAGCTTTTGCAACACAGTTGTTGCTGATTTGCCTTATCCTGTGTAGACAGGCATATTTTAACAGCTGAATGAAGTCTCTCATCTCTTTCTGTTGTCTGGGACAAGGGACATTTTAACAATTTTCTTTCATTCTGTTACCCTAAAACATAGGCCCTTTTGCTTTTAAACAGAGCATGCAAAGCACTCCTTAGTCCGGCCAGGCACTGAAGTTTAACAAGCACTTGTACCGTTTTATAATTAAGTGTATCCTCATTCTTCTCCAAATAAAACATAAAAATACAGTAGCACTTTGACATATTTGGTATGTACTCCAAAGAAAATACTTCTGATGGTGGTAGGAAGCTAACTAGGTCTTCTTTCTCCAATTTACACTTTTCTGATTAAAAACCTACTTTGAAATCTACCCACCCCCCCTCAAGATATTTTAGTTCAACAGGGAAAACTTTAAGGATTAAATTCCCCGAGATGATATGGCCAAGTAAATGATTGCCAATCCGTGCAGATACAGAACACTGGTCTAACTCATTCTTTTGTTTTTCAGAGTTTTATAAAAAGGATCAACAAATTAAACAATGCAAGGGCACAGAGAGACAAGAACTCATTAACGAATGAAGAGGGAACAGAACTCCGGCCTTTGTAAGCTAAGCGCGCCCATCAGGTATTTGTACCTGGAAAAAGTTTCCTCTCCTAAGAGCTGTGCGCAGAATAAACGATAGGGCCCGACGTGGACCCTATTCTTCCTGTTTTTGTCCCCACTATTTGACCACATTACAATACTAGAACCATAAAAGTATACAACCTTTTCTGTATCAACAGGGACTGAAAAACCTTTTAACAACATGTTTATGTGGTCAATTAAAAAGCACATTATGTAAAAACTAATTTAAAGGACAATTCCTCACTCACAACCAATAAACCTTAGCAAAAATCTCTGGAATGTTGCCCTAGTACAGAGGACTTTTCCCTACTCTTCCACTCCTGGAAATGTGCTAAATATGTTATAGCTTTTCAAAGTACGATTCTTAGATTTAGGGACAATTAAAACCGAAAGTGTAAAAGGAACTACCACCTGATGGGCGTGGTATAGAACGGGCAGAAGATTAACCAGATGTGAAAAGTTAAATTTTGTTAAAAGTACAAGGCTAAGTCTTACAAATTAGCAAACGTTCCGCAGAAGCGGGTTTTCAACCACAGCCCCACCTGAGATTGCCCGGAGGAAGGTTTAAAGTCCTTCTGCCTGGACCCCATTCCCAGATTTAGATTCAGTGGTGGGTCAGAGGAAAGGGCCACGGTGAGCGTGCACTGGTGGCTTCTCCTTTTTAAAGCTTTAAACAAATAGGAACGTCTAACGTGTTGATTGGCAGCCTTGTTTCAACTGGATAACAGGTAAACTGAATTACTAACTCTCCTAACAGGACGCCCAATCTGGCATATTTGGCAGGGCAAGAAGCAGTTCAATATAAGGTTTCCCTAAACCCCTCTTCCTGCAGGGCAGGAAACAGCATGCTAGCTCAGGTCCCCTTGAACAAATGCAAATTACAACTTTTTTCTTAAACAAGACTATTAGTTGAGCTCTGACAGTCTCCTTTAGGAATAGGATTTACAACAGAGCAGTTTCTGTGAGGCATTAACCTTAGTCACTGCAGCACGATGAGCAAGTCAACTGCGCTTTTGTGGGTTCATCAAACACCTCTATGTCCTCATTATCTGCCTCAGCAAAAAGCAAGCCGGCACATTTCACCCCCAAGGCCTAATAGAACCAGTGCTATCATCAGAGGAAATCACTTGGCTGAGAAAATGTCAAAAAGTGTGTTAGCGACTGAATTTTTTATCATTACAACACTTAGCTGTTTGACCTCCTCTAGATCATAACTGAAGGTCAGGTTTTGCTAACACTTCCTACTATAAATCCTAGCTCATTATCAAACAGCATGTCCTATTCCTGATCCAGTATGTTTCTTAATATTTATTCACGCTAGAATATGAATATAAAATCCCCCCACTCCATCCCCACCAAAGTTCCCCAAGATGATTTTCAGATTATTCCAAGTTGGATTTAGAATGAACTGGAGGCAGATGAGTCACAGTGGAATAAGCAAAGGTCAGATGATAGTTTGAATCCCGGCTGGCATTTCCTGTGTGCAATGGGCAGGTCCCTTCATTTTTCTAAGGCTCCCTCTCAAGTACTCAGTGCACTGGTGTATAGATTCAGTAAAGAAATGTTCAAGTATCTTATAACAGTACCTGGGAAAGAATACTTACTTAAAAAAAAAAAAATCTGACTCTACCCATCTGGAAGTTAGCCAGAAAATAATCAGCCTGTGGCTCATAGGAATGTTCAAAAAAAATATTTATTTATAAAAAATACAATGGGATAAGTTTATGCTGAGAAATGCAGCAATAAATACAGTGGAAGAAAACAGAGCAACTCTACATCGATACATTGGCACAAACAGGAAGAGCAAACGCACCCCCCAGACCTCGATGTCTGCAGGCCAGCTTTGTACATGCTCCTTTCGAAACACCACTCGGAAAAGATTTTGTCGGCTTAGGTAAGAATGAGTACACGTATAATCACAAATGCACACTGATCAGGACTTTATTTAAAAATTAGCAAACAATACTGTAGAAACATTGATATATAAATTTCTAAAATGCTGCATCTTAAATTTAGTTGGCAAAGACCACATTTAGCTATAAGCATGAGTTTAGTCTTCCATGTAGAAACCAGATACTAAACTGTAAAAAAAAAAACAACAACAAAGCTTCCTATTGTTTGAAAATACCAGTTTAAGTAGAGGATTGTAAAAATGCATAGATCTTTAATAAAAGAATTGACTGTACAAGAGTACTCCCCTTTCACAGTATTCCTTTTTACTTCATATGTGAGTTATTGGTTATGCTGTAGGATTTAACTGTTACAGCACTAAAAGGCAACTATTTAGGGAAGAGGCAGAAAAAGGAAAAAGGAATGTATGTAAGGCAGTATTTCCTTTAGGTACGATAAGCATAATAGTGTTTTAGGAAGACAAGATAAAAATTACTCAAGGCTAGCTTGGTTCTCACTGAATAAAAACAACGGGCTAAATACTGAGCTCCTCTGTGAATCTAATAATCAATGCCTTGGTCTCCATATTGGTAATCTCTGGGGTAGTCATCTTGGTACTCGCCATGATATTCATCTGGGTATTCTGCCTGATAATCACTATCACTGATTTCCGACCCATTTGTTCCGGTTCCTTGGCTTCCATTGTGAATGACAGGTTCTGTGGGAGCAGCACAGTATTTGGGATCATATACTTGCCGCCCAAGCCCATACACACTCATTCCTTTCTGGGAGGCGACTTTGTTGGTACCCATCTGTAGAGAAATTGTCGAGTTGTCCACGGGTTGTAATGTTAGCTTCTGATCGTAGATGTCTCTTCGGGTACCCGGTGCTAACATCCCCGCCTGGTATTAAAACATAGTATAAAAGTTAAGTTAAAACAGCAGCTAAAATCTATTCTTGTTTCTTGTATTTTATAAATTATGAAATTCCCATCGAATGTGAACACTAATAACTTTCATTCGGTTCAGGGGTAAAGCTGGCTTACCAAAATATCCTGATGTTCATTCTCTTACAAAGCAATATTCACTGGCTTTCGAGCTAAGGTCAGCCCTTCAAATCCTTGCTCTGCTATAAAATTGCTATGTGGCCTCAGACAAGTTAACTTACTTTTAGTTTTAGCTTTCTCATATGCAAAATGGAGACAATACTACCTACTTTGGAATAAGAAGATTGGACATAACGAATATAAAAACAAAGCATAATGCTGGCATACCTGAAAGCTACATCGGAGTGCCTATTATGACCATACACGCTATCCAGGTTACCAATTTCAAAAGTCTGTAATACATTCAACAAAAATTATGCTGAGCAGTCCTTAAGGACCTGAGTCTTTCAGAAGGCCCTGAGACACCAAAGAGCCAGCTATTTCAGAACAACTACTCCCACTCCCCTCCTTTTCAGGGTACTGTAACTAACTCACCTCATTTCTCCACTTGTGCCAAGCACATGCTTTCAGATTTAATTGGTAAAAAAGCAAACCTGAGTGGCAGCTCTGAGGCAGTGCCCGGTGTGGCAGGACATATTCCATAAAGGGCAACACCACCACACCTCATGAGGTCATGATGAAAAGCTTTTTCAAACTTTACCCCCACTCTTGTGGGATGTTAAGACATGTCCCGCTCTGATATGGTTATGTGCACACCACCTTGCGAGGTGCTGGTGATCTTTTTATTCTTCACAGGAAATACTTCCATCTCGCGTGGTGGTAGAATACTAGCATTCTCACCATGCTGTATTTCCATCTCCTTAGATTCACACATTTTCCATGATGCTAGCTAGAGTTCTTTGTAAAACACCAGATAATTTTACCCACCAAATTAGTTGAGGGCTTCTTTAAAAGAAGCATTAGAATGAGCAATTCACTTGGATTTGGAACAAGAACACTGTAATAAACGTATCTTTTTCTTCTGGTTAGGTAGAAAGGCCAGCTGTTCTAACTGCCAATAAAAGCCATGGGCCACACCACACTTGTGTGGCTACAGAAAAGGCCCTTTGATTCTTTTGTTTTCTCAGCAAATCTTACTTTCCTGAAGGCATATATATATATATATATATATATATATATATATATATATATATATATATATGTCACACAAAAAATAACCACTTTGGACTCAGTTAATAAGAACAAGGTAAGTGTGAATTTAAATAGCCCTTTTGTACTCTTTGAAACAAGTACAAAAAGGGATTGCTTACCTGGCTGGCTCCTTTGTTGGTGCCCATCTGCAGACTAATCGTGGTCTGATCAAAAGGTTTGTCCGTTTGCATTTTGGGATCATAAAGATGCCTCCTAGTCCCATAGGCTGTCATACCTGCTTGGCTGGCGCATTTGTTGGTTCCCATCTTGTAAGTTAAAAATAAAATCACTAATTATCAGAAGTCACCAATATATATGACACAAACAAAACTTTCTGTTCTACTGAAGAGATTTCTTAGAAGGGATGCAATTGACAAGTCCCTTCCAATGCTGAGGTCAATGCAGTCAACTAGATACAAAATTTATGCTTTTACAAATAAATTTCAAGGTGCTCACTTTGAAAAGAAAAATTTCAAAAACTTCACCGGATATAAAGCCTCACAACATAATCCATCAGATACAAATATGCACGTAGAAAGAGGACAGAGACAAAGTTATTACAGTGGCAGAATTATGAATAATTTCCTCTCCGACTCTTTCCCCTACCCTTTTTAGCACTATGGGTACCTGCTTCAGCCATTTAAAGGGACAGAGCAATCTTTGGCTAAACAACATGCTTTTCTACTCCAAACATGTTTTGCATAAAATGTGACAGTAAATGCCAGGTGTCTTCTCTGGCAGCTTAGCAAGGGCTTAAGTGTCATTAAAATCACCAACATTTTCATGGGAAAAGAACCACGTTTTATTCCCCTAATTCTCATGTCACTAGACAGAGAGGGGCAGAATGGAGAATCTGAACTTAGCAATATTCAGAGGAATAATAATTAACTTTTATTCCCCACTGAGAATAACACGGCTTCAGGACCAACCAGTTACACCTTGTTCTTCTACTGGTTGGGGACAGATTTCTACTGCTGGTCTTTTTTCCTTAAAACACAAGATTTATTAAAGGAAAACTTTATTACTACAAGTCAAA